TTTTTGTATCTGGTCTCAACCATAGACCAGGGGGGTCCGGCGTTTGGGAACGCCGGACCCCCATGAGCAAAAAATTCCGACCGGATTTTGGCAAAAAAAGTCAGTTTTGATTTCGTTCAAAAAATATAATATGTCCGTTTTGACGAAATGGCTGTTAAAGGCTCACTAGAGTCACTACTACTGTTCCTTCAGGGTCGCAGTAGACTGTTGCCCGCCCCCTTTGGGCGATCCCGAAGTGCCACCCAATCCGATTCTTGTAGGTGGGATCTTTTCGGATGATTGAAGGATTCTCCACCAGGCTAGGGGGATTTTTTCTACTATGACCTCCGAGCTTCCTCCGGTCAGTGGCAGTAGCGTAGTCTCTCTCTCCGAGCTTCCTCGTTATCCCTCGTTTAACCCAGCCCTGTCATGGGGAGTCAGTGCAGTGGAGGGTTTGCCCCTTCGAATCCACTACCCATCTATTTTCAAAGAGGGGCTATCAGGCCACTCTTCTCATCTTTCTGGTGAGATTCTGTCTGATAGAGGTAGGCTTCTCCATATTTTGAGGAGGGTGGGCCAAAAAGGGTCATTACGCAGGTCATCCCTTGCTGCTTGTCTGGGTGAGTCAAGGGGGGGATCCCGTTGTTGCGACCTTCATCTTGGGATGGGCCATCCCCTGTTTTCCACCCACATCAGCGGGTCACACCCTTGTGACGAACTATTTTCTGTAATCGCGCGGCTTTCTGCGCGGAGCTGCTTGAGGACATACGACGGGTTGAATGGGTGAGCTGTGGGAAGATGGGTCGGGCGGGCAAATTGCATGGATGTCCTCGTTTCTTTTTCGTTTTCTGTTGGGAGTGTCGGATCGGTGTCGGGAAGATCCCGTGCCAATGGTTGGGTAGTCGCGCCTTAGCGAGCGCGAGAAATAACTGTACCATAGCTTCTTTCTTGTTCTGCTGTGAGCACTGGGAATTTTTACACGATCATCGCGCGGGAATATCGTTTTTGAATTTTCAACTGATGTCGAGCCTCCACGGGCTCTCGGAATTGTTCTTCTATTCGGAATTTTCCTTTGCAATTAGGACTTAAGCTAGGAATTTAGGCACCTTCTAAATTTTGTTGTGCGGCGCTTCCTGCTTACGCACGCCTTGCCGCGACAAGATCCGGGTTCTGACTTCTTTTTGCGCCTTAATCTTGCACGTGACTGTAAAAGTTTTGGCGGGCATGATTGCAACTGTAATCTTCTTATTATTGATGTCCTTCGTGTTCTTCCCTCTTCCCGCCTTGTGCTCGCCCGCGCATGCACACCTTCTTCCCCGACCTGATTGGTTCCTATGCCTGCATGCCCGGATCGATGTGTGGAGTGTGGCTACGACCCCCACGCTGCGGCTTGGCCATGGAGACGTAGGCACTTCCTCTCTTCTCCTCTTGTCCACCTGGCTTAATCCCGTACCTTTCAAGCAGGCATGCACGCTATAGATTTTGCAAGCGCGATTAGTTTGCTCTCTAAGAATTTCGAGGTTAGCGCGATCAGTGAAGGTCGGCTAACGAGCAAGTTTGGAAGGTAAGTGAGTGCGAGAGGTGGGCGATCCAACTAGTTGGTGTCGGGTATGCGGGGTTGACGTGCGGGGCCGCGACGGACTGTGGCGCACGGGCGAACCTGGCTTGCATGCTTGAGCCAAGCGGGGTGACAACTCTGTGTTGATACGCGACGACGGACTATCGGGATCGGGGGTGTAGAGAGAGAGAGAGAGAGAGAGAAAGAGAGAGAGAGAGAGAGAGAGAGAGAGAGAGAGAGAGCAGTTGTGGGTGTGGGATGAGGTTCTTTCTTTTGCTCGTCTATATAATTTTGGCTTCTACTATGGCCGATTTCGGTCGCGGCCTTTTTTTACCCTTCCTTGTAAATCATCTCGAATTTTCTTTGTCGCTCTTGCCTCGTATGTATGCATGAATGGGTGTGAACTCTTCTTCATTAATGATCTTTTCGAATTCCCGATTTTGTTTGCAATGCTTGTAAAATTCTATCCTCCATCTGCATCTGATCGAAAGCATCCGCTAGTAGGGCCGCTACGGATGTTTGGTTTGATCGTCTTAAAGCCACCAAGAATGATGTGAGACGTTGATTGTCCTTTCCCCCTTTTATCTCCTTTTCGTCACGTGAATGGTATGGATATGAATGAAACATCTGGATCTCACCGGGCCTCACCCCACATAGCATGAGTAGGATAGTTGCATGTA